CTTGTAAATGGATCACCAACCTTGGAATTCCCAATTACAAAAGGCATTCGGCAAGGTGACCCCCTCTCACCTTTTTTATTCATAATTGTGCTGAAAGGTTTAAATATTGCTAGGAGAACCGCATGTCATAAATCCATCTTTCATGGTATCAAAATCCCAACAATGGCCCCAGAATGTCCCATTTATTTTATGCCTATGACGCACTTTTTAAGGTGTTTTGAAGTATCATATGGTTTGAAAGTTAATTTTTATAAGTTGGGAGTTTTTGGAATTGGTGTAGAAGGAATTGAAACCAATCTTTGGGAAAATTTCCTTGGTTGTATGGTTGATTCTCTGCCCTTTATATATGTAGGTGTACCCATTAGTGCAAACATGGCATGCAAGAGACATTGGAAACCCATTAATGACGGGTTCCAATACAAATTATTTCTTTGGAAAGCGAATTCCCTTTCATTTGGTGGCCGAGTTACATTGATAAAGGTGGTCCCCAGGAGCCTTGCGGCATATTATTTCTCTCTTTTCAAAGCCCCGTCCGGTATTATTGTTGATCTTGAAATGAGAAGAAGAAGATTCCTATGGGGTGGCTCCATGGAAAGCAAAAAACATCAATTGGATCTTATGGGATAAAGTGTTCACTTTGAAAGATGAAGGTGGTCTTGGAGTGGGGTCGCTCAAAGCACAAAACATCACAAAAGGATATGGCGACATAGATCTAAAAAGCAATCTTTATGGTGTAAGGCTATAAATGGATTAAACAATCTTGAAAGAAAACCATGGGGCTATCTAACGAAAAAAAACATTATCTAGAGTTTGGGAAAACATCAAAAAGGTTCTAGATGATCTAAATAACATTGGTATCCTACCTGATGATATCTTTTCCCAATATGTGATCTTTGGTGAAAGCACATTACCACGGAAAGAAAAATGGTTAGGTTGAACCACGCTTCAAGTTCAATTTCTCCAATTGTATTCTCTCGACTCGACCAAATTATTTCTGAGAGGCAATCCAATTCAGGTTTCTCTTGGGCTTGTAGTTCTCAGCCCAACACCTAATCTACCCAGCTGGAGCTTTTGGCGTTGAATAATTGTTGACTACAACTTCTCATAGGGTCAAGATAGATTCATTTGTAAAGTTAGTTCGGATGGAGAATTTACCGTGGACAATATTCGGCGAAAAATTGATGCAAAAGTCACGGGTAACAGGTGGGGACTCAATTGTATGGTTAATATTATTCCACCAAAAGTGTCTTGTGTCATATGGAGAGTGAGGGTTGGGAGAATTTCTGTAGCAGAAACCTTGCTTAAAAGGGGCATTCACATCAATTTGAGTAGTCGTTGTATTTTGTGAACGGGTAGTAGAATCGGTGGATCATGTTCTTTTTAGTTGTGAGTTTTCTCAAACGGTATTGGATTAAGTTCTCAAACGGTGTGGGATTACACAATGACAATTCGTGCATGTGGTGGATTTTGTAAACTTTGTAGTAGGCTAGGGTAATTGCCCTAAAAAACGAAAGATACTCCTATCCATCTTCTATGGCTTCATTTGGCAAATATGGAAGGTGAGAAATGAGAAAATATTTAACAAGGTAGTACAGTTCCCTACTATGGTGGCGGATGACATATTCTCATATTCTCTTTAGTTTACACCTGGCACAAACATAGGGGGAAACAACAAATGTAGATGGATTGATTGATGTTGCTCTCCTTTTTACTTGTCTGTAATATGTTCTTTATGCCTTGTTTTCTTTTTGTTGCCCCCGTCTAGTTCCTTGCTAGTCGTGGGATTTGTTAATAATATTCGTCATTTCCAGAAAAAAAAAAGGTGTGTCCCCTTCTTTTCTTTTTTGGTGATAATGTATTTATGCTATAAAATGCATACAATGTATCTACCGAATTTGGAGCAAATATTTAACGCCTAACTTGTTAGATTTAATTGGGGAAAATATATAACCCAATGTATTTGGGTTATCAAAAAAGCCCACACGTGAAAATCTTGAACCGAAAAGCCACTAAAGAAATTTTGAACATTTGAAATTGGACAAATAACTCTTTTTAAGCTTTGTCCATTACCAACAATAAAAATAACAATAACTTGAAAAAAAAAAAGGACGAACTACTTGGCCATTGTGAAATAGGGTGTGTTTGGCATGGAGCGTTTGAGAGCTTCTAGTTTCTACCGTTTGACAAAACGTTCCATTTTGAGCAGAAAATCTCGTTCGACACTACAAGCTTGTTGCGTTTAGTTTAAACAAAACCTTCCAAATCCAAATGCAACTTCACGTTGCGTTTAACAAAACTCTAGAAGCTACCAGCACTAACAGCTAATTTTTGCCGTACACGCCCATAGTCAAAATTTCTAAAGTTTTTTTCCCTTAATTTTTTCACTTAATGGCCATTTTGATATTAAAATTTTCTTTTTGATAACTGATCCAAAACACAGGTCTATCCTGTATAGTTTCCTAAATTATCTCTTTACATGCACATATCTGAAATATGGGTGTCTCACTATTAGATTTTTGAAGTACATTAAAATAATTTTTTTAATGCCACTACTCTTTCGCAAGTTGTATGCATTTTTTAATTAATAAAACCTATATTCCTATATAACCAGTGTGAATCCAACAAGATTAAACAAATAATAGTAAATGTCAACTCTTGATCCAATCAAATGCAGAAAAAGAATGAGACAATGAGCTGGGTTAAATCATCAAAAGTTCAATACATTGTTTTGACTTTGGCCCTTGATTATTTAGAAAATGTTTTTAAATAATTATAAAAATACAATACTTCAAAATTTATGTACTTATAAAGATTGTACTTTTTATTTAAGTTTATATAAAAACCATTATAGATAAAAAAATTGGGACAAACTGCCATTTGGTTTTAGTAAAATCATTTAACAGGTTACACAACAATAATGGTCTTAACCACTTGGGTTGTGGTGATTAGGTAAGACATGTGGAAGATATGGTGGATAACCTATTGACTCATGTTCAAATCCTGGCACTACTAAGCCCTTGTGGCCATGGAGGTTCGCCTGCAGTGACTCTAGGGCATGAGGCAAAGCCTCATGTTTGCAGCGAGGGATTAGTCGGTGCGCGAAAGCTGGCCCGGAAACCCTCGTTAGGGAAGTTCCCTTTCCAAAAAAAAAAAAAAAAACAATAATGGTCTTCTTTGATAATTCAATACAGTAATTATATTGCTTAAGCATTACTATATATGGAGTATGTGAATCCACCATGTCATATAAAAAGATAATTATTAACATCAATAGGCAAAATAGAACATAGATCCTCAATTAGTTGGGTTGTGAAGATCAAAATATTACATAACATCGTTTCATATTTTGTAAGATCATGATCCTAAAATAGTATAGAATCCAAAGATAATATCAAAATGAACTCATATTAAAATTTTCCTGCAAGGTGTTGGGTGTGAAATATGTATATATTATAACATGATAGTGATTAAGACATTGATAGTGGAATCAACTTTAGCTTTCTCAGCGTGAACCACAAATTTCGTGTGCTTCAAATTGTAAAAATTAAGAAAAAAATATCGTAATCAGAAAAAAAAAAGAGCATTGTGATCATTTACAATTTTATGATCTTAAGATCATTTGATTATATGGGTGTGTTATGCCTAATGCCAGATAAATTGATGAAATGGCTTTGTGGATTGTTATAGGTGTTTTATATCTAATTCCATATAAATTGATGAAATGGTGAAACTCTACAAGAGTTATTGAAACATGTGATGCTGGATTTCAACATGAATAGATGAATTTTTTACACTCAACTATATAATAAAACTAGAGAGGTGAGATCGGGATCATAGTGTGATTGGGATCGTTTTACACTTATAAAATCTTAAAATCGCATCATCTTAAGATCAAAATCCGGATTGTAATAACAATGAGACGATCATTTGAGTCGGCTTTTATAGTTTTATTTGGCTTTTCTTACTATAATAAATAAATCATCTATACTATAGTACCATTTTATATATTTATATATTCCCATTGTCCAACAATTAACTTAGTATAAAATCAAGCAACAAGAGAAATGAGAGATTCTTTTATTTAGAATTATTAAACTAAAGATTATAGAGTGCACTCCAACATCCATTGACCAAGATATAATTATAATATATAACAACCTTGAAAAACAGAGTGAGAATAAAATACTATATTCACTTTTGGTGTCATTTTGAATGTACTGATGAGATCCTTGATAATGTAATTCATTAAAAATAATACATATCTCTTGCTACATACTTCTATTAAAGTAGGTAGATAAAATGAATGATAAATATAAAAAAAATAAAATTAAAAACAAACCGGGTTGTACGACAACCTTTTGTGTAAAAAGAAAGGGCGTAATTGGATTAGGGAACAAAACTATAATTACCAATTACTTACCTCATCACACACTCGATTTTACATCGGTTCTCAATTTCACTAGGTATAGAAGGATCTCTTGTCCAGTAGTGCATTTGTAATTGATTCCAACAAATTCATAGTAAAACTATAAAACTATAAAATTTGGATAAGATGGTAATTGGATATGGTCTTAACACATTCAAATTAAGTGACCAGTTCTGTAACGACATCGTTTAAATGAACATTTTTCTAAGTAAATATTGTATTAGGAACAAAACTAAAGAAAATAACAAACCACAAGGACCATTTTTTGCAGGTTACTCTATTTTTTTTGTTACGACTTCTAATTAATAAATTAAGTTATAATTAATCAAAGTTATAAAATTTTAAAGTTGGAAATGCAAAAGCAAAGGTGAAACTAGAAAATATCATGTAAACTCAAATTGAATAATAAAATTGTTTAGCAATGAAAAAAAAAAGAAGAAGGAATGAGTAGCAATGGTGTCACATGTCCAGGCTGTCTTACGACTCTCCAATATATAGCTGTACTTTAAGGATATTTAACAACACCCCTTTCAAAGACTTCCAAAATCTTACAATCCATTTGATTTCACAAATAATGGAAGCCTTTCTCGAGTTCCAACATCTTAAACAATTCACCTTAGAAGAGATCAAGTCAATCACCGGCGACTTCGATAACAAAAACGTTATTGGAGAAGGTGGATTCGGGAAGGTATACCAAGGACTAATCTCTGACTCTAATGGCAAAATCATGGCTGCTTTTAAGCGTCTGAGTAGCAACTGTGGACAGGGAAACCCTGAATTCTTGAAAGAGATATTCATGCTTTCTCGTTACACACATGAAAATCTCATCTCTCTATTGGGATTCTGCGACGAAAAGGGTGAGAAGATCCTTGTGTATGAGCATGCATCTCATGGAAGCCTTGATAGCCATTTGAGTAGCACTACTCTAAAGTGGACGCAACGTCTCAATATATGCCTTGGGGCTGCAAGGGGGTTGTGCTACCTTCATGATCCCATGGACACACAAGAAAGGGTTATCCATAGGGATATAAAAAGTTCCAACATCCTAATAGACGAAAGTTGGAATGCTAAAGTTTCTGACATGGGACTATCAAAGATAGGACCCGCTAATCAGCAGCACACCTTTCTTGCCACAAACGTTGTAGGTACCTTTTGGTATGTAGATCCCATGTATATGGAGACAAGCATCCTAACGAAAGAGTCAGACGTTTACTCTTTTGGTCTGGTATTGTTTGAAGTATTGTGTGGGAGACAATGCTTTGAAAATAACAATGGTAATTTTCGGAGTTTAGTGCGAAAGTGGAAAAAAAACTACAAAGAGAAGAAATTAGATGAGATTATATTTCCAGAGCCGAAGCAACACCTGAATCCGAGGTCATTGGAAATATTTTCAGACATCGCATACCGATGTTTGAATAAAAATCGTGCAGATCGCCCAAATATGTCTGAAGTTTGCCAAAAACTTGAGATCGCGTTTGAGATGCAAGGGCTTTTTGAGGAGAATCTTGAAGATATGGAACCAGAAATGGATTATGTAGAGATGGGTAAGAGTGCTATGCCTCCTTTGGTTTACAAGTCTGAAGAGGAACTAAAGATGCTTCTCTCCAAAGGAATCTTTGTCAACGGGGGCAAGACGGTAATTAACTATGTCTCTGAACCACTTCTTTAGATTTATATAAAATATACAATATGAACTGTAGTTTGTGATTATAAAATGTTAATTATATTATAGTTGAATTTGAGGAATTTCACATGATTAAACTAAATAATGTTTGTACATTATTCTAACAGCAATGTATTGAACCAGTAACTACAAACCACTAAAATCCACCTATCATAGATCTTTATTTAAGCAATGTATGTAATTTCCCTCACTTTTAAATGCTGGCGAAATATATGTCCTAATCACTATAAATCTGTAACTTGAAAAAAAATAAAAAAATAAAACGAAATATTGTCTCAAGAAATCTCTACTCTAATAAATTTACTCGGATACTAATTTGATTTCCTTTGATGGACAGTGGTTTTTGTTAAATAAGAATGGAGAACACTGTGAAATGATATCGGCAGCAGAATGTTTAATTCCAATGGATGCTGTAATTTCTGAGGGTGCTAATTACGATCGAAATAAATCAAGGTTACTTGTGCTACTTCTTTTTGTTTTTAAGTTGTTTAGACTATATCATGATTATATACTAATGTATTCACTGTTGCATCTTCTTGCAGATTTAATGTGGAGTACAATAGACCATATTGTAAGAAATTCAAAACACATGTGAAAACACAATTTTTGTCTCCACATATCACATACACAGTAAACCTTGTGTTCGACTTTTACCAACAAAAGAACGAGTATGTACGCCTAAACCTCTCCTTCAAATTGCCTGGGGAGACGAATTATTGGACTTTGTATATAGAAGATACAAGAGATGATGGATGGTTAATGGTTGAATTATATCAACTTACTAGTGAAACGAAAAATTTTGATTTCGAAATTATGTTTGACAGCTGTCACCAATTGGTAGTAGAAGGCATTGAGCTTCAACCAGTGGAGAGAGTAAGCTGACAAATAATCATTTAATCATTTATATCATTTTATTACTGTTGTTAATATTAGTCTTTCAAACCTACTTTGAAACTAAATCAAAGGAAAGAACATTTTAATCTAAGTGAACCCTATCTATGGGTATCCTACTTTTTGTGAAAAGTAGAAGTTATTTAATTTGGAGAAGAGTTTTCTTCCATAGTGGATAAAAATCTAAAGTGTAAGTTTTATAGGTGGAGCATGGAGTGTTAGAGGATGAGGAGGTGGATATAGAAACCATATCCAATCCAGACTCATATTGGGAAAAACTATTGCCAACTGATTATGAAGAGATAATCAAGTTGTCAAAAAACAAAGACGTGCAATGGACAACAAAAAATGAACTGTACTCTACTCTTTGCAAAGGCTTCCTAATTAACAATGGTAAAGAGGTATAACTGATACAGACGGGTTCATTCCTATCACTTTTGAGAACTTCATAAATAATCACTCAATGCTCATTTATATGTAGTTGTACGCAAATGAATTATCCTGAAATATCCAAAACATGTACTTACGTACCCATATTTGTTTGTTGATTGACAGTGGTTTTCTCTTACAAAAGAGGGGAAGAAATGTCATATGATTTCATCAAGGGTGGTTTTGGATGAGCGGCAGTTGAATTGGTGGCCTTTCCCCCAATCAAGGTTGTTTTCTCCACCTCCTTTCTCCTAGCTAGCTTTTTTCTTGTAGCAATGTCTTTAACGGAGTTATTACGTGACTGGATCATATACTACACAATTGTCAAAATCAGCTTACGTACCCTTTGAGTTTCTCTATATTTTAAGAAACTTTCAGCCAAGGCCGGTCCAAATGTATTATGGACCCAGTCCAAATGTATTATGGACCCAGGACAAAAAGAAAAAATGAGCCCCTAAAATAATAAATAAAATTTAATTTAATTCAAAAATACACAATACATTACAAAGTTGACAAAAATCACTATTAGTATTAGAAACATAAATATGACCACAACATTACCTAAAAGAGAAATTATTATCATTTTAATTCAAATTAGTTTTTCAGCATTCAAACTAGTATCATTTTCATTCAAACTCGATGGTTTAAAAAAATTATGTATAGATCCTTTATAAGTTTGATTGAAGGCATCAGAAAATTTTCGTTTCTTCCTTTTTTTTGGCTTCTAGATAATTGTTTTTTGGAAAACATTGTAGATTGTCATAAGCTAAACATTATCTAATTATAAGAAAATATTACATCTGATTTTTGATATATGGTTTCTGTCTTAAAGTTATAGAAGCCTAATATCATATTTAATTTAAATCAAGGTGCAACTGCAAAATAAAATCAAATACAAACAATCAAACATCTGAATTTAAAACTGGATTTAAAATTTTGAATTCTGAATCATATATCAATAAATATATTACCTTCTTAAGTAAAAAAAATCTAAAAATGAAGGTAGAAGATATAAAGTTAAGTCTTAAAACATCTAAGAAAAAAAAACTATAAGCTTTCAACATTGGATTAGATACGAGGACCAGAAATTAGGAATGTGAATACAAAATAAAATCAGAAACAACACTAAAGAAAAGTTAGGATTGGATTTATAATTTTGAGTTCTGAATCAGATATCTAAAAAGAAATTATCTTGTTAAGTAAAAAAATATGAAAAGTAGGTAGAATCTATAAAGAATTGACAATCTAATCTCTAACAATTTAGCAATCTGAGACACAGATACACAAACAAAATCAATAAATAAATAAATAAATAAAAACTATAAGGAGCATGAATAAGAAATCATATCAGAATGAGAAACAAAAGAAGCAGAGGAAAAAAACAAACAAAAAAAATTTATAGCTAACCTTATGGTTTTTATCTCATTCATCGGATGCGATGCAATTTTGCATTCAATCGACATAATTGATTATAATCTGGAGCCTAGTAAGAGACTACGAGAACTCGAGAAGGGAAGAAGTCACATGACATAACTGATTATGAATCATTGTTCTGATGTTGATTCACGAGGCAACGATTAGGATTCACAAGATGTCAGTTAGATTAATTGGTTCCCGTTTGATGAGGATTCCTGTAAGATGCCCCAAACGGTAGTGTTTGGTTAACGTTACTTCAAAAAGCGTTCCAGAGTCTAGACAAAAAAAGGTTATTTCATTGGGTTAAAGTTTGGTTGCTTTTATAATTGGGCCCTTAGAAGACATATACACAAATTTTATTTTTATATATGTATATATATTATATATTTGAGAAATTTTGGGCCCCTTAAAGTTGTGGGCCCTGGGCGGTCACCCGGGTTGCCCACCATCAGCACTGCCCTGCTTTCAGCACTCATTATGAAAAAATCAAGACACGTAATGGAACCGACATACGTGCATGGTTAATGTTGTCTTATGCTTCTAGCATTTAATTTTTGTTAAACTCTTTTCCAGATTTGGAGAAGTTGCTGTTAATCCAGATGAACGCATGAGATCATTTATGATTGTCGGCAACTCCAGAATTCTGTCAACTCAAACAACATATGCAATTTACCTTGTTTACAAATTACAAGGAGACCTTTATGCATTTGAGCCTCCTGTCAAAGTCACTGTTATTGATAATGCTGTTTCGATTAAAGGTTTTTCGTATGAGAAGGATTATTCATGGTATATCTATTTACTTAGCCCCCAAACACCAATCATTAGACGAAAGACATATCAAAACTCACACAACCCTTCAATCAGACCCAAAATGGCAGGCCGTCCACAAAAAAGGAACGATGGTTGGATGGAAGTGCAGGTATGGGAATTTAGAACAAGTACTGACACTCGATGGATTCGGACATGTAATGAATTGACCTTTCTCACTCCCAGTAGGCGTACAGGGCTTCTTATGCAAGGCATTGAGTTTAGACCCATATAAGTTTTCTTGTTTATGATTGAGCTCGAGTTAATTGTAATAAATTGATCAAATATTTATGATTGAGCATGAATTCATTGATATTATTGTGTTGACATCTTATATCTTATTATATTACTCTAATCAACAACTATAGCTATGCTATTAGAAATAAGATACCTATAATATATCTAATACTCAAACGTTGAAATTGGACAAATATTGTGAAGTGCTTTATTGGCTAAAGATTTTCTCTTGATGGCTTTTTCAATAATTCACCCAAAATACATGGGTTTTTATAGACTTTTACCATCAGTATAATTTATTTTAATATCATTAGGTATAGCAACTTGCCTGCATATTCTCATTAATAAAAGCTATATATTCAGATAAAATTGGTCTGAATCTCAAAAGATTAAATAATTAATAACAAATGTCAACTCTTGAGTTGGCATATTTCCTAAGAGTACGTTTGTGGATGGGTGTATCAATTATTGATCCAAAGAAAATAGTAGAAAAAGAATGAGAAACCGTACTTGGGATTTCAAGTGCAATTCTTAAACAAATGAGATCATGAGCTGCATCATCAAAAGCTCAATACGTTTCTTTGACTTTGGTCTTTAGATATTTAGCAACCGAATGTAAACATTTATTGAAATTAAATTCCTTAAAAAATATGAATTTAAAATGTTGTAGTTTTTTTTTTTTTTTTTTTTTTTTTTTTTTTTTTACCATAGTTAATAGAAAAACTATAATAGATACAAATATTGGGACAAAGTGCAAATTTTAATGGTCTTATGATCAGTTTTCTGATTACACAACAATATTGATATCTCATTAATAGTTGGAAAATCGAATGTCGATCTCTTTAACAGGAAGCACAATAAATATACATCAAGTGGGCAGAATAAAATAAGAGGCCCGTATATTCTAGAAGTTGTACAACAATGGGCTAGCCTAAAAACAAACCTAGAGAGCATAATATAACACCACATGTAAAACTGGATTATAACAAGACGACACATGGCATAATTTAGATGCAAATACAGTATACATTAACATGCCCCACCAGTTTGAGTGGGAGGAGGTTGCATTTATGCTCCCGCTCAAACAAGTATGAAACTCAAAGAATAGTGAAAATTGTAGACCTTTGGTGAAGATGTCGTTGTAATGGTTTTGTAGGGGAACATGGAGAAAAAGAACATGGCCAATGGTGACTATGTCTAGGACAAAATCAATGTCAAACTCGATGTCTGTTGTTCTCTGATGTTGGACGGGGTTCACCCACATATAAATGGAACTAATGTTATCGTAGTAGACAATATTGGCAGTACCCAGAGTTATCTGAAGTTCTCTAAGAAAATTATGTAGCCAAGTTGTCTCGACTACAACTTTTCCAAAACCCTATTCGGCTTCAATGTTGGATGCAGATACTTTGTGTTGTCTCTTGGAACACCAAGAAACGAGATTGACCCCAGGAAAATACAATAGCCTAATGTGGATCTTTGAATCGTCTGACATCCATCCTAATTTGAATCATAATATGCTTTAAAAGTAGATGTTAGAGATACATATAACTGGAGGTCGTGATTAAGAGTACCACAAATGTAACAAAGTATGCGTGAGAGTAATATGAAGCTCTTGTGGATCATGCATATATATATATATATATATATATATATATATATATATATATATATATATATATATATATATATATATATATATATATATATATATAGGATATAGATCCGGTAAGAAATTTTTTTTGGTAGGAAGGTAAGAAGTTTTTTTTCTACATATTTTTTTAACGAACAAAAAAAATGAATCACTAGATGATTCATTTGTAAGATGATTCACAAGAAAAAATTCTCAAAAAACATCTATATGATTCATTTTTAAGTAAATTAAGGAAAAATTCACTTTTATGATAATTTTAGTGAATAACAACAAAATCATTATATAAATGAATCATCGAGATGTTTTTTTGAGAATTTTTTCTTATGAATCATTTTACAAATGAATCATCTAATGATTCATTTTGTTTGTTCGTGAAAAAAATATATAGAAAAAAAACTTCTTACCTTCCTACAAAAAATTTCCTTCTTATTTGATCTTGACTCTATATATATATATATATATATATATATATATATATATATATATATAGGAACATAGGCTAAAATGCAAGAGAACTATATGGTCGAATGAATGTCAAGTGCCCTGCAAGGTTGCGGTATATGGATTGATTAGAAACTCGATCACCCACTACTAAGTTTTGACATCTTATCAACAGTAGTATGACACTTGTCGTAGTCTGATATATAAGTAAATTAAAGAAGCTCAATGTAGTACTTATTTTGAAAAAGAAAAATGTCCGTAGAAGAATTGGAGACAAAGATCCTAAGAAAATAGTTCAACGAGCCAAGATTAGTCATATCAAACTCACGACGGCGAGAGTATATGAGCTGACGAAGTAATCCTAGGGATTACGCAGTAAGGATAATGTCATCAACATAAATTTACAAATAATTTGTCTCTTGTCCTTGTTTTAAAACAAATAAAGACGAATCAATTTGCGGTGCTGAACCTCAAGCATTTATTGTGTGACTCGAAAAGCACTAACACCAGGGAGCCTGCTTAAGTTTTTAGTTAGACTTATAGAATTGAAAAATGTGATATATTGCATCGGAGTCAATAAAGCCAAGCTTTGATCCATATACATAGTCTCAGTCAGGTGACCAGGCATGTATTCTTGACCTCGAGTTATTTAACAGGTCAATGACATAAAACAATGATGTTGAGGATGGTATGGATGGTTGTCGTTTTGACTACCAGATAGAAAGTCTCGTAACAGTCGATACTGGTTGCTAACTTCTTCCATTTGCAACCATACGAGATTTAAACAAACTAAGAGTACTATCAGCATGCAATTTTGTTTAAACAACCACATGGAATGGAAAATGTTGACCTCTTCATGGTAGGGTACAAAAATAAATAATAATTTCACTTCCTGGTTGAACTAATATATATCACAGGGAAAGGGTCGAATCGATAGGGACAAAACCTAAAAGTCAATATATCTTTACACAAGGCACATACTAGTTAACTGCAGAAAAAAATAAAAGGGGGGGGGGGGGGGGGGGTTGTTTCATAATTTATAAGTAAAATAACAGTGAAATAAAACTATTAAATTCAGTTGTAAAAAGTGAATTTAGTTCTACTATGATTTTCGTAATCATGAAATCAACAGAAACATGGTTATTTTAGATGTGTTTTATCTAACTTGGTATTCAAAACTACTAACAAGCTCTAGTAAGTTCTCTTTTATATAGTTAATTAACCAAAGCAAGCTCATCAGTTAATCATAACTTTTTACTAACCTAATTAAACAAGCTTTTAATCAAGTCAGAAAATAAGCATTATAATCTATGTAAAATTCCCAACAATATTCAATACTTCTCACAAATTCGGAAGTTTAAAAATATGAAATTTCAATTTAGAACATAGTCGAATCCAAACACGGAACCGATCTGTTACTAGTTACTTGTTACCAGTTTATCAAAACAATTACGGATGTCAACAACCGATTAACTAGATTGATTAAATCCAAAATTAGGTGGTCAAGCTAAAGATAACTAAAATCAAAGATTCAATAAGCACAAAACTGAAATATCTAGATAGAATCACATAATAAAAAAAAAACAAGCCTAATGATTGATTACATAAAACATACTGATCTTGCAGATCTAAAATCTAGGGTTTAGCTCGCCATGGATAAAAACGAGTCTAGAACAATAAAAAGAGACATTAAACAGCTAAATATTACTAAATTAAATTAAAGAGAGGATCCAAAACGGTTACATCTTCAGAAATTTATGAAAAAGTGCAGAAATAACCTTCAAAAGTCTTCTATAGTCATTTGGGAACGTCAATGGTTTAAACTGATCAGATAAGAGGTGTTTATATTCGATCCCACAACAACAAATGAAATTTGGTAAAAAAACAGGATCGTCTTTATGGGAAAAACATGATCATGTTTTTTCCTAAAAGTTCCGAAATCCCGGTTATTCGCGTTTAATGAAGTGCAATGCTATTTTGGACACTTTTTTCAAAAACATGACCGTGATTTATGGAAAAACACAATCGTGTAAATCCTTCGAAGTCCTGAAACTTGATTTTTTGCTTGGAAAAGTTTCGTCCGTGAATCACGGTAATAAACACAATCACGGGGTGAATAACATGGTTGTGTAAATCATAAAACGAGTGCTTCAGACAATTCTGTTTTGGCAAATGTAACCTAGCTTCTAAATACTTCACGTATTTTAGCACCATTAAGCTCCAAATATACATCCAAGCTACTTCCAAATCACTACTCCACTTGAAACATCTGAAAAATATGTAAAAACATGAGTTGTACAGGAATTCTTATGAAATACATGAGTTGAACATACTTTAAACTAATGCACATACAAATTCATAAAATATGATGCAAAATTCTAATAAAAAACTACCATAAAAGTGTTGGATTAGGTGTCTAAGTCCATAACTATTTTGGTATGTACTTGAACCGATTGCGAGCATCGTCCTTTTGGGTTGTTGTCACACCCCAAAACCACGAACGGCGGAAACGTTCAGGGGTGGAGGACGTCATGTACAGTATCACAACAGTGTAATATAATAAACAAGCAACAACATCATCCATTGCATTATAAGTAAAGTTTTAATACATGTGTGCTTCTTTCATCGTAGTAAGACACCAAAAATATACAATCAAAATAAAAGACGAGACTTGTCTGCTCCGTCTTCTCAAAACCTGGCCTCCGTACCTATCGACTGATGACCTGAGAATACAAGTTATTTTGAAAGCGAGTATCAACTTTAAAGCTGGTGAATTCATAAGTATATAAGTGTCATTGCCTGGTTTGTGAAAATCTGTTATAAAGGCCATGTAAATCGTTAAATGAAAATGTTGATGTACGTATGAAAAACCCTAGAAAATCCCTTATTTCCTATCAGTTTGAGATGTAGTCTTCTACCAAGACCCGAATGTTTTGTAAGTAAAATGATAGTTTTCCTTTAATTGTTTAGTACTAAAGTACTTAGTCTA